CTCCAGAAGATGGGGGCTTCGGGAGGTGACGGCTTCGCCAAGCTCTGCTTGTAGGACAAAAACCTCAGAGCCTTTTTACAGTCACTTTGACGCTTTGTAGAAAACAAAGAGAGGGCACTGGCTGGGCCCTGAGACGTGGGAAGTAGCATCGGGAAGACCAAAACACATAAAGGGGTAGGAGAAAGTAAAAGCACATCAACTTCACAAAGAATGAGGCATCACCGAGTGTAAGGCTACTTAGAAGGCCTCCCGGAGCCTGTGGGTAAATGGCTTTGATTATCTAGAGTTGATAGACAAAGTTCTGGAAGTTGTTGTAGCTGAGATAGTCACCTCAGGAATGTGTATATTCATTTTTAACGTCATTTTACAATGTACTCTGAAACTTAATTCATGTATCAGCATAGGCACTAGTTTCAGAAGCCTTGTGGCTTCCTAAGAATCGAAAAGTAATTAGAGCTGTTTAAGGAGTGCGTTCTTCCCCGTGACCCCCATGGAACTGCCATCGCAAATGGAAGTGACACATGCTTGAACTAAGGGTTAAGATGATTTAAAACACAGAAAACTGTCCCTCTGGCAGTATAGAAGTGGTAGTGGTTGAATCTTCTAATGGCATTTCTGTTATAAATCTAGGATGGTTTTGTGGGAGTTGAGGCTAAAAAAGAAAAACACAATATTGCATGATCTTAAAATTCAGTTTATGGTCCGAATTTTGGTAGCACGTCTTTAATTTTTTTGGTCACAGGGAGAAAATGAGTAGGAATTCTAGGTACACTGATAAATACAACCAAACAGTAATTGATCTCCTGAGACCAGGAAACCTTGAGCTCTTGGGGACTGGAATTTCAGGCTTTCTGTCAACTGATTTGTGAATCTTTCCCATACTTATGTCTAACCTATATTATATATGGGACCGGCCATACTGCACTTGTCGTGAACTGTGTCTCTTAAATAGAACCAAGGCATTCTGAGAACCTGCAGGGAATGAAGTGTCATCCCGCTGTCACTCTGCTGTTGATAAATAGGCACGGTATAAGCACTGTTTCTAATGTGACACCTTGTGTTTCAAATATATGTGGTTGGCACATTTGTCTTTAATGGATTAAATAAAACACCTGTCATCTTTACCATTTAAAAATATTTGGACAGATGTTTTCTTTTTCACTGCTTTAGTGATAGCACGGCTTTTTACAAAAGTGATCACTGAGAAGTTAGGTTGTGACCACAACTAGGTGATGTGTAACCCCACATTTCTGGATATCTTTGTTCTTCATAGAAAACAGTGTCAACTTTATCATCTTTGCTCATGGAAAGGAAAAATGGTACAAGTAAAGTAATGAATATTGCAAATATAACTATAGTTAAATTGTGATACCAGCTACCATGTGACTTTTCTTTGGTAACTGATTTATCTTCCTGTTTCGCCAGAGTTGGGAAAGTTCTTAATCAATAATCAAGGTGGTGTCCTTTAATAACCTTGGAGCAGTCTTTGAGCTGTACCTTTCCTAATTATTATTCATGGACAAACAGAATATTAAAATTAAGTTGCATTTCTAGAATGTACCAACAGATGCTAGGAGAAGGGTGTTGATTCACATTCTGGGTGATCAAGACAAATTAGACCAAGCTAAAAAAGTTGTAAATGGTTTATATAATGAATAGTTGTTGATTGGTCTTAATTTTATCTCTACCTTCATGTTTTGTTTTGTTTTTATGTAGTAAAAAGTTCTCTTAATCCTATTGTTCTGATGCAAGAAGCATAACAATTTCTCTTTTTTTCCTGCTAACATTTGCAAAAGGGCACATCTACTGTGAGCCATACAGTTTTCCATTGTTTTTGTCATAACATTTAAGCGAGAGAAGAAAACGTTGAGCAAAGAATTTTCATCCAATAGCTTTAGCAGAAACATTGAAGCCCTAAAATGTTCAGTGATTAGATAGATGTTACTCCCATTTCTGGATCATGGGAAGTGATAAACACGGGGGTGAATCAAAGCCCTAGGAACTTTACGTTATGATACCAGAATAAAGAAATGAAGGAGAAACTATGACTTTTGATAACATCATAAGACTAACTCTGATATGAAGGGTGTTCCCGAGTTTTTATTTACTTTGAAATGAGAAGGTGTGACTAAACTTTTTGAAAGCGCTGGGTATGAGTCACCTTACATTTCTTGACAAGTGTTAGTGTTTATGATTCAGGAAGGTATTTTTGGAATTTTTAATTATTTATTAGAGGTAATAGGTGGTTTTGGTGAGTTTTAATGTAAAACTAGTGAGTAGCGTGGGTAAGCAAGGCAGATGAAATTCATAGAGTAAGAGCTGTGACTCCAGATACCCATAAGGCCCTTGGAAAAATGAATTGACACATTTGTAACCTCAAATTATGCTGATGGGGACTTTGTCTACAGGGTGCTTAAGGCTGTCTTAGTGGTACATTAGTATTTCTTACTCATAATATCTGTTTAGAAGAAAAATGAGTTCAGTGGTCAGGCACATTTGGCAAACATTTGGGTTTTTTGTTTTATTTTTTGGGTTTTTTGTAATATTCAGATGCTTATATATTGAATGTAAACCATTTAAATGGTATTTTTTAAAATATATTTTTATTGATTTCAGAGAGGGAGAGAGAGATAGAAACATCAATGATGAGAGAGAATCATTGATGGGCTGCCTCCTGCACACCCCCCACTGGGGATTGAGCCCACAACTTGGGCATGTGCCCTTGACCCGAATTGAACCTGGGACCCTTCAGTTTGCAGGCCGACGCTCTATCCCAGTGATGGCGAACCTATGACACGCGTGTCAGAGGTGACACTCGAACTCATTTTTTTGGTTGATTTTTCTTTGTTAAATGGCATTTAAATATATAAAATAAATATCAAAAATATAAATCTTTGTTTTACTATGGTTGCAAATATCAAAAAATTTCTATATGTGACGCAGCACCAGAGTTAAGTTAGGGTTTTTCAAAATGCTGACACGCCGAGCTCAAAAGGTTCACCATCACTGCTCTATCCACTGAGCCAAATCGGCTAGGGCTAAATGGTATTTTTTCGAAGGGGGGCGTGGGGGGGGGATAATCAGTGGTGGAAAATTTTTAGCCTTATCTAACTGATAGTTCATAGGGAGTCAGATGGTGGTGGTTGGGTGTTGCTTTGTTCCAAAAATTTGAAATTCAGTGCAGAAAGGGATGCACAGATGCCTCCTTGCACCATGATTCAGTTTTGTGATATGATGGCTTCCCTGATAGAGCTTTTAGTTGAAGATATACTTGTTTTCCTTATTTCCCATAGTTTGTAGTTCTGGAATATAGTTGCTACATTCAAGTCTTTTCCAGTCTGTTTCCAGAGCTTCACTCTAGGGCAGTGATGGCAAACCTATGACACGCGTGTCAGAGGTGACACGCGAACTCATTTTTTTGGTTGATTTTTCTTTGTTAAATGGCATTTAAATATATAAAATAAATATCAAAAACATAAGTCTTTGTTTTACTATGGTTGCAAATATCAAAAAATTTCTATATGTGACACGGCACCAGAGTTAAGTTAGGGTTTTTCAAAATGCTGACACACGGAGCTCAAAAGTTTCGCCATTACTGCTCTAGGGTATGATACCTTTCTTTTAGAGCAGTCTTGATGTCGCTTCTTCTTTAATTCCCTAGTTGTAGGACTTCCATTCAGCCAGATTTCAGGGGGTTCTGAATGATGGTTGTTCTGTAGTTTAGTTGTAATTTTATTGTTATTGTTGTTAATCCTCCCCAGGGGATATTTTTCCATTGATTTTTTATTTATTTATTTTTATTTTTTAAATATATTTTATTGATTTTTTACAGAGAGGAAGGGAGAGGGATAGAGAATTAGAAACACTGATGAGAGAGAAACATCAATTCAGCTGCCTCCTGCACACCCCCCACTGGGGA